CAATGAGAACGAGAAAATTTCACAGCCAATCTACAGAAATTAGGAATTGCTTTTTCAGCCAGGCATTTTGGTACATGCCTTTAATCCCAGCACTTGGGAGTCAGGGGCAAGTGGATCACTGTGAGTTCAAGCCCAGGCTGGTCTATACATCAAGCTCCAGGTCAGCCAGGGCTACACAATGAGATCTTGTCTATAACTAAATAAATATATATTATCTGTGTGCAGGCACGCGTATGCCATGATGCACAAGAGACCAGAGGACAACTCTGTGGAGTCAGTTCCCCCCTTCCGACTTTACATGGGTTCTGGGGATCAGACTCAGGTTTCTAGGTTTACACAGCAAGCACCTTCACCAAGAGCTCTCTTTCCAGCCCTCCTTCCACATTATTAAGCATTTACTACCAGAGACTACAAAGGACACGGAGATGCATGTAATGTGGTAACTTTCCTGAAGGTGTCCTAGGCTAGCCAGCATGGAGGTGGCCTACCACACGAGTGAACTGAGCACTCTACCCTGGCTAAGGGATCAGAGGAGGCCTGTGGGAGCCACAGGTGGGAGTGTTGATTCCAGTGGCGTGCCCCAAAAGCCTCATGGAAAGGGGGCTGTTTGGGTTAAGTCTTGAGAGGAGTGGAGGAGCACACGATGACATTCTCATCAGCAGAGGAGCCCACATGCTGAGATGTGGAGACAGTGTCCACAGCACTGAGGTGCAGAGGTGAGACAACACTCACAAACTTTATCAGGAACATGGGGAAATGCAGGTGTTCCACTATGTTTATATGCAAAACTGACATCTTCCTGCAGGTGGACCTCATAGCTCAGTGTATTTGGTGAGATGATCACTGAGAGAATAAAAAGAGCCACAAGAAGTTAGAGGAGGCTAAAAAAATAGAGTAGGGCCAGACAGGAGACAGGCCTGCCTCAGCCTTTGATAACAAGGCCTTTGAACCCAACGCTCTGAAGACTCAGCAGTGTTTTGCCTGCTTGTTTGCTTTTGTGTTTTTGTTTTAAACAAGATCTCTTGGTCTGGAGAGATGGCTCATCGGTTAAGAGCAATGGTTGCTCTTGCAGAGGACCCAAGTTCGGTTCCCAGCACCCACATGGCAGCTAACAACCATCCGGAATTCCGGTTCCAGGGGATCCAACACCCTCTTCTGACCCCCGTGGGCATCCCAGGACACGAGTGCACTTGCACACATGCAGTCAATGCACTCATACATATAAAATAAAAATACTCTTTGAAGCCAGGCATGGTGACACATGCCTTTAATCCCAGCACTTGGGAGGCAGAGGCCAGCCTGGTCTACATAGTGAGTTCTAAGCCAGCTGGAGCTACAGGAAGACCCTGTCTCAAAAAGACCAAAGGGGGTAGGGCTGGAGAGATAGTTCAGCGTTTAAGAACACTGTTCTTGAAGAAGACCCAGGTTCGATTCCCACACGGCAGCTAACAACTGTCCGTAACTCCAGTCCCAGGAAATCTGACAGCCTCTTCTGTCCTCCGTGGGCATTGCATGACATGGGTGCACTTACCTACATGCAGGCAATACCCTCATACACATAAATATGTATAAAAAAATAATAAATAAA